CTGATTTTTCAAAAACTACACAATTTCCCAAATGTGGACCTGGAATGGAAGCTATGTCAACATCCACACAGTGGCCTCAAGGACTGAAAAGCTAGCAAGAGGTGCATGGATTAGCATCTTCTGTAGGACAGCTCATGACAAGTTTGTTAGTGGATCTGACTATTGTATCTGCAGAGAATGATGTTTACTTTCTGGTGTCAGTCTTAACTTTCTCTTCACTGACCAATGAAAGATACAGGGAGACTTTGAGAATCTGCCTCTGTGTCTATCTTCAAACATAGATGTCTATATTCCTTTCAAGATGGACTTTGCTAATTTTTGTGAGAATTTAGGAGATCTACACATGCTAAATTTTATTCATTTGGCAATGTAGAGAAAATGGTATTTTATCCATGCTTTGAGATTGCTATTTTTTCCTGTGTTCTGTCTATAAAGCCTGGAAAATAACTTTCCAGGACATCTCTTTTGCCTTTCCAAATCCTATTCCCTTATTAAGGTTAAATCAAATGCAGTGATAAAACTTTCTCTGAAGGAGCCATGGACTCATAATCAGTAACACATGATTTAATTATTTTCTCTCTTTAGCTGTATTCAAAGTTTTGTCAGGACAGGGGATTGTTTTATGCTTTTGAGCTATCCTGTGGCTTCTATGCGATAATTTGAATTTAATACATTAAAATGCAGTGATGAAGTAGCAAGACCCATTTCTCCTCTGGAGTCAGCATTGCCATTTTATAGTTTTGGCTTATATAATTTATTCACATATCTTTCAGGTTACTTATATCTGGATCTTTATTGGAATGGGTTTCACTCATGACAAGCACCAAACACTTCAAAACTTAAAAACATCACAGATGCTAGGATCCTACCACAGGACTACAGAATCAAAATGCCCTGAGAATAAGACCTGGTTAGCTACATTTTTTAAAAAAATCACTTAAGTGAATCTAATGTGTGGTGGAGAAAGCCTGCCTCAGAGAATATGAAGGCTGTACTTTTATGGAACCATGCAACAGAGGTCTGCCAACTCCAGGCATCATTCATATAAACAGCCAGCCTAGGAAAAATACACATCATTACTGCAGGATATTGCAAGGATTGAATATGGGGGCCTCAAGCAAGTTTCATATAAGAGGAGGACAACCTGGAGTTATAACACATTTTGAACAGGGATTCCTCTGTTGAATGCATTAAATACACACACACACACACACAAATAACTGAGAGTGAGGACCTGAAGAAAGACAGTAGAGGCTTCTAAGAGAAGTAGAGCAACAAAGAGCAAAGAAAAAACTATGGGTAGGTGGCCATCTTCATAGTGTGATTTCTAAGGGCCTACTGACTTAAAATTCCATTGCAAAATATTCAGTCCTTTGGCTTAAAACTTTATCTCTTGTTAAAATGGAAATACCTATGAATCAAATCTGATTGAGTTAAGCATATCCCTACCTGAGAACATATTGTGATAAAGTGGGGAAAAAGATTTAGAAAAAAACGGTAGAAGAGTGAGAAGGGGTGTCACCAAAGGAAGAAACACAGCAGGGCATTTTGCAAGTGGTAGCAGCTGGACAAATATTGCTACTTTGACCATCACGTAAAAGAAAACTGCTCAAAACTAAGATGAACTAATAAATATTCTATGTTCTTCCCCTGACTATCCTGCTGAGGAGCTGCTTGGTTCACCCTGGTCGATGTTGCTTCCTCCTGAGTTAGACAGAAAGCAGTAGGAAAGCAACCTCATTGCTAGGGAGATGGCCTTGTGGTGTAGGCTGGCCCTGGGAGGAAGGGCTCCAAGATCCATCCGGAGGATTTTCCTCTGACTTGCTCTGTGGCCTCCAGCCAGTCTCCAAGCTGCTTTAGTATCCTTGTATGTCAAACCAAGATAAATACCTAACCTCCCACCTCTGGGGGCATTAACTGCCACTTTCATTAACTTTATGAAAGGGCTGTAGGAGAAAGCTTTTGTAAAATTTTAAGATGAATTATTTGTGTTATGAGCATTATCTTTATGATATTAGAAGTTATGTAGCATTAGGAGGCAAGAGAGCAAAATGGGCAGTGGAATAATAGAGAACACAACAACTTTACTCAAGATGCAGTTTGTAGTGGGAGAGAAACACCAAAGGAGGGTTGAGGTTGGGTGCAAGGGAGAGAAGTTCACAATTGGTACCAGATGCCATCAGAAGCTAATGACCTGACAAACACCGTCCGCATAAAACAAATTCCTTAAAAAGGAAGCAAATGGAAATATAAGCTAGTGAAAGAATTTGCAGCAGCTGCCCTAAAACCATTTCTCACTTCATAAACAGGTCTGGGTTTGGTCCTTTTTTTTTTTTTTTTTGGTCCTGGTCTCATTTCATGCCACTTTTCCCTCTTGTATGCTTGTATGCTCCCTGTCTTGCTCTTTCCCTTCTGCTGCCAATGCTGGATGGACTCCTCACATTGGTAGTCAGAGCAGCCGTGCTTTATGCAATTCAACTCCATCTTGATGGAAAGAAGCTTGTGCACAGTTTGTTTTCTCTCGTCTCAGTATGTATTTGTCCTCAACAATTACATGACTTAATTGGATGAAGTCACTGAAAATAGCACGTGCTCTTTCACATTAATTTCTTGGCAATCAGCGGAAGTGAACTAGGATAATAATGACTCTCTTTTTTCCAGTACTTCCTGCTTAACATGCTGTGTTTTGGACATCAACCGCATGTAGCATCTGTGGAGCTTAGAGTTCTTCAGTGTCACCAAGGAGGCATTCTGATCTCACCCCATAAAGGATAGTCAGGTTTTATCTCCCTTATCTTAATGTTGAATAAAGTCTCAGAGCCACAGCTTACTCCCTATATTGCATACTCAATAATCAGCATTGGAAACTCATGCTGATTCATTAGGAACTCTTTCTCCCTCAACTCATATATTTCTCCCTTCGTCGAGTTCCTATTAGGATTCTACATCATCACAGGGAAAAAGTATACCCCAAAGGAGTACCAAAGTTTCATTTACATCACACATCCCCCAATTTCTCCATCCTCTACCTATCAAGCATGTGTAAGAAAAATGAGAATGTCACTGGAATATGATTTAAATCCATGGGTATAAGGTCAGGAGCAGCAAATTAATCACAGTCAATTTTAGTCTACCTTTTTGGGGCTACTGCTTTTTTTAATCAACTCTCAATTATCTAAAGCACTATGTGCATATCCAATGACATTTTACATCCCACTTTCTTATATTGTTGCCTCTTTGATAAAGTCATTGACTACTAATGCAATACAAGGACAAACAGAGCACATTAGTGATGATGAGAAGTAATTACTTTGCTAATACTGAACACCACTGGTGATGACTTCAGAAGTAAGAAAATATCTTGTTATCATATTTTCTATGAGTTTCTTAAGAACACTTTCTTTATGATACTACCAGTGCTCAGCCAAGTACCTTCTGAGGAGTTAAGTGATTAGTAAATGTTTATTAGTGAATAAATTTAGTGGGGCAAGATGGTTAACTCATTGTTGGGTAACATTTTTTTCAGATCCCCAGCTGTCACCATATAATTTAGCAAATTTCCATTTTGATAGCCATTAACTTTCTTTGCTATTTGTAATATGAACACATTTAATTCAGTAAATGTTTCTTGTATCCACAACAGCAAGATGTATGGTGAATATAAAATTGGGTAAGAAGTATTTCTCCTCAAGCAGTTCGTATGTCAGTCGGAAGATTAAGGAGACACTTAGATAATAATTGTTTTGTGGATAAACAAATAAATAAATTAAGAACAAGAAAATAACATACATAGTACAATATAGAGTAAAATAAATGTTAGAAGGCTGTTAATTTTGCATTTTCACTGTGAAGTTTCAAAGAGGAAGACATCTGGAGGGGCTTCCTGAAAAAGGAAGGCTTTTCAGAAATCTCAATAAATTGAGAAAAGGTACAAAAGTCAGAGAACTAAAAAGTAGGTTGTCAAAAATATGACAACTGAGGGCAGGCCTGGGCCATTGCCAATAGAGCAGCACAGAAAACTAACTAGACTTATAGCAACTTTATGATATATGTACCTTTATTATTCCACCTTATAAGGGAAGGAAGTAAAACACTGGGGAATGAAAAACACCCCAGTAAATGGATTCAAGGCTCATTAGCCTGGTGCTAATGCTCTAGTTTTTAATCTCTATGGTTTGGCCCTGGAAGGAGAGATACTCTTCTTGGTCCATTGCATCCTTGTTGAATTTATACTCTAGGATGAGTCTTCTTGAACCCTGTGAGGAGCTTATATATCTTTTCTGCTTCTGAGGTTGGTGCTAGTAATCCAGGAAATAGCTCTCTGCTAGGTTCTATCTCTGGAAGTACCTACCATAATGTCAGACATGCCATGGCAATTCAATGTGTAAGTTTACTATCAGCACAGACTATGTCTGGCCTGTGCTGGTATTCAGTACATAGTGGTATATACTACTATGGTTGTCCCATAAGTCCAAGTCCATATCAATCAGTAAATGAATATTACTTTTTTCTATCATATCAGATTCCTATGCCCTTTGTTTGGACCCCTATGGACCTTCCTGTGATCAAGCATCTAAAAGGTTGATGAATGATATAACTAAGGGACTCCAGGACCCACTCCTAAGCTTTGTCCTGGGACTTGATTGTTTGGATGCAGCAGTACTGGTTGTTCACTATTTCAATTATTACCCCCTGATCTATTCATTTCTGATAACAACCAGAACTCTTGGGAATCTCTTTCCACCTCATCTTATCACCATTGGATTCTCCTGGAAGAGTCATAGAAAGTTGGTTATAGTTACTTTTTAACTACCGTGGTTTATGTTTATCATGACTCATGGTTCTAGGTAATATGGAAGAAAGTGATGAGTTAAATGTGAGTTTTGAAGAAAAATTGTTCCCTTTTCTTAGGGACATTTCTCAGAGTAAGCTGTGAAGTCATTGCTCCTACCTATTTGTTCTAAGCCCATTTCTAAGATGCTCTATTCTGTCATTTCCAGCTGCGTCTATCAGCCCTGTGGAGAGCAGGGCATCTGTGCACCATTGCTGCTTGATCATACAGACATGGTGAACTGTACCTCTAGTGGCCCTGGTCACATGAAGTGTGCTATCACCTGTCAAGAGGGATTTGCCCTTCAGACTACCAGTGGGCAGTACCTCAGACCCATGCAGGTAAGTAGAAAGCCCAGGGTCAGCAGAACCAATCTTGGGAAGCATGGTCCTCAGGAAGCTATTCACGTGATTTCCCCTGGCTAGACTAGGAAAGAGCAGGTGTTTTTAAATCTTTTCTCTAAAAATCAAAGAGGAGTGTGGTTAATAGAAATGTAAAGTGCATAAATATGCAAATCTGATTAACTAGGATATAAATTTTCTCTCTAGGTAGGCAGTGTGTTCTCCCTTATTTTTGTCTTTCTGTCAAAAATTATGTTTCCTGTTTTTGCTTTCAAGAAGAGAGTGCGACAGAATAGACCTGTGCATGATTTTCAGGCAAGATGGCCTGCAACCAGCTTGCCTCTAGTTCATTGTCTATTCCTCGGTCCTCAACCCTCCTTTCTAAAATGGTGGATAAATACAGCCTGATTGTTCCCCAAAAACATTATATCTATTATTGAGACTGAGATCCTATCAGGATACTAGTTTTGACTGAACTTTCCACATTTCTATGAGCCCCATTCTAAATTTCTACCATAAATTTCCAGTATTTTAAGGTTCAGTCATAGTAAAATATATTGGTTAAGATATTGCTCAGAAGACATATCTGAGTGAAATTTCAAGTCCACTATATATTAAGTGTGTAACTGAGCAAAAACAAACAAAATAATCTTTTAAAGCTTATTTCCATATTTATAAAATAATTAGAGCACAAATACTTAACTCACTGAGTTACTATGATGGCTGACTAGAAATCATTTAAAAGCTTTTGTAAAATAAAAGGTACATGACACCCTATTATGCTGCCATTATTATAAGCATGATAATATATTCCTAACTTTAAGAGCCTTGTTTTCCATGTTTCCTTTAAAGAGCTTACAACACTCTGCAGAGAGATTTCAAACATGTAATCAACCATTAGAGAACATCAGCATATTGTGAGACAGAGAAAGGATACATTAGGTAAAAGATAATCGTCCTTAGAGAAAGAACCAGAAAGATGTATTGTCATAGAAAAGAGTAGACACACGATTGTTAGTCAGATGTCAGTGGTTTGTAAGATCAGAATTTTTTTCATTTGTGCCAAATGATTGCTTAACAGGTTGTGAACCTGTGGAAGAATTTCAGTTTCTTAGAGATGGTCAGAATTTAAGGATACAATCTTGAGTTTCAGAGGACTTAGTTTTTGCCTAGACAGAAACAACTTTAATATATCTTGAGGCACCAACTTCTTGATCTAGGATGCTTTAATTTGAAAGAGAGAGCTTCTATCACCTGTCCATAACTCATCTCAACTCAGGAAAAGGTATGTTCACACTAAAAAATAAAGTGGAAAGAATGAAAAAGAATGAAGAAAAATGTAAGAAATGAGTATACATAAGTGATAATTAAAATAGGAGAAAAGAAGAGGCAATATTTGCCATGCATTAAAATTAGGAGCAAATTCAAGACAAAATGGTCCATACCTAATAAAGCCAGGAGAAAACCCAGACAATCAATGCAAGCTTTGGAGACATTTTTTAAATGATTAGTGGCTTATTGTGGTTTGAGCCAGGCTTCCCAGCTGTGATACATCTGTAAGGGGCAGAACCTAGTTAGGGGCTGGCGGAATGGTTCAAGCGGCAGAGCACTTGCCTAGTAAGCACGAAGTCCTGAATTCAAACCCCAGTACCACAAAAAAAGGTTGAAAAATAAAGAACTTGGTTAGGAGGAGAAAGATGCAAACTCACTCTCTGCCAACCATATGGTGGAGTTAGCAGCAGAGCTCTACAGCTGACCAGACTGCTCTGTCACCCAAGGCTGGCCTCATGAAGGAAATTATACAATCCGTCTCGTGATCACAAGACAGTAGGGGTATTTGCTTTTTGTTGACACAAGAACTGAAGCTAAATAGAAAAATGTGTCTGGCTTTGACTTGGGTCCTTCTGGCAGACAACAGGGACACACTGGGAAGCAGGGAGAAGCAGCAAGCCAGGAGTCGGTGTCAGGAGTGACAGATACCTTCAGCAGTCATTAGACATTTGGCTTTGGTGCCACTGTGGTCTCCTGACGAAATGGCTGGCTTGGCCACAGAAATTTCTCTGTCTTTGACCTTTAACCCAGTGACTAGAGGGACTTACATGCTTATATCAAATAAGCTATGAGCTCTAGGGCTCTGCTCCTTTTGCTCCCATCCTCTGTTCCTTGGTTACTTTCTCCTCTCTCCCTGCCCAAGGGTGGCAGTCCTTCTTCCAGTTCCAAAATGTGCCTTCCTAGCTTCATACCACACAGGATCATATTTTTCTGGATTCTAGTTTTCTTCTACCCTCACTTTTTTTACATTCTTCATGTTGTATTCCTGCTACTCATTATAGATTATAGAAGGGGTAGGCATTATTTTATAACAAATAAAAATAACTGTAGTATTTCTTTCTTTTTTTTGTTTCTGTCTTCTTCTCTCCTTTTCTTTCTATTTTTCCTTGTATAGACATTTTATTAACCACTGTTACAGCATGTGATTTGCTCCCTTGTAGATTTCTAGCATAGGACCTGGCCTTTCTAGGTATTCAATAAATATCTCTTTATTTAATTAGTTGTGTCATGCTCTAGGAATGCCCTACTGAAAAGGCAGGTCCAGGACACAGCTGATATCTCCCATTTAACTACAAGGATTGGAAGGCAGCTTGTATGCTCAGCTGTTCTTAGATACTATGCACAGTTCTCAGTGGAGGTAATTATTTTCAGTACCATTATCAGTTGGTTTATTAATAAGGGTGTCAACGGAAAATAGATGACATGCTGAAAACCAGGCAATTTGAGAGAATTTAATAAAAGGATTGTTCTAAAGGATAAGGGACAGAATATGGGGAAATCATAGAATATGTGCAGTAGCCTAGGGTGAAGACACTCAGCTGTCACCCTGAAAGGTCAGCTATGGGGTGCAGCAGAACCCATGGGGAGAAAGAGCAGAGGCTGGATGCAGATGACAGCCAAGGGATGAGCCAACCTGCAGGAAGCAGGAAGAGTAAGCACATAGGCCTCTCTTTTCTTTTTCCTCTCCAGTCTCCTGTCACTGGGTCTCAGGGCAGAACTCAAACACAAGTTAGGACATGAAGCCTATGGGAGCCAGTGTTTTTGGGTGCAGAGCAGGGTGGAGAGGGCCAGAGAACAAATGTAGTAGAGCAAAGGGGAAGGCAGTTAGCAGAGCTGGCCTGGAGGAGCATTGCCATTTAGTGATTCTTTTGTACAAAAAGGCTCCTTTCACTGAGTATTATGAGACTGTATTAAAACAGTGAGGCATAATAAGGGACAAAGGCAGAAATGTTCTACTTGTTTTGAATCTTGGCACAAATGACCACTGGGACTCTTCAAAGCCTGAAAAGTACTCGTACCATTTTATGTAACCTTGACAGAAGCAAATTCTCTATTTCTAGAAGGAGATTCTGCTCACATGTTCCTCTGGGCACTGGGACCGGGATGTGAGCTGTGGGCTCCTTGACTGTGGCATCCCAGACCCGTCCTTGGTGAACTATGCAAACTTCTCCTGCTCAGAGGGCACCAGCTTTCTGAAACGCTGCTCTATCTCCTGTGTTCCACCAGCCAAACTCCAAGGTATTGTCTGACCAACAGGGAACTGAATGTAAATTCTCTTGTCCCTCACTCTTTGGGGTACTTTGGGCTTTTTTTTTTCATTTCCATATCCTTCCCCTTTGTTCCACTGAGATGCTCTATCCTGATAACAGGCAAAATCCCAAAAGACAACACCATTCTTTGTAGCTGATCACCTGGAAGGATTCCCTGGCTCAGGTTCTCATTGAAAGAAGAAACTTAGACCTCCTTTTCTTTCTTTTATATGCTCTCCCAGAGTCAAACCAGTCAGCACAGTGGTCCCGATAAGGTACACTTTCTCATGTTTTAAATTTTAATATTTTGACAACTTGATGAGTTAGGTATGCTTAGGTGTTTTTCATAGCTGAGAACACAGTTATTTGACTTGTCCATGGCCTGCGCTACTAGTTAGAGATGAAGGTAGGGTGGATTCCCACGCCTTGCTCTCACCAGACCTCTCAGACTTTGGTGTGTCTGACAACTGCTTGTTACACATGCAGATTCCTGGACCTTCGAGAGATTCTGATTTAGTAGGTCTGGAGAGGACTGATGGTGCTGTTGTGAGTAGTCCACAGTTTGCACTTGAAGAAATTGAGAATTACACTGAGGCCTGTGGAGCTTAAATACAGAACTCTGCATCCAAATTGCCAGGATTCAAATCATATCTCTGACCTCTATGAGCTCAAGCAAGTTACCAAAACCCAATTTCCTCATTTGTCCAAGAGGGAATAATAAAAGAATCTATCTCATAGAATTGTTTGATGTTTGATGTTTATATAAATTCATTCATGCAAAATGCTTAGAACAGTGGCTGGCCTAAAACGTCTACTATGTAAGTGTTGTATTTTATTATTTTAATGCATTTTGTAGTTACTTCACTACCATACTTTTATTATTTGTAGAAGGAAGGAAGGTAATGATTTGATTGGTAGCCCTCTTTCATTCAGGTCAAGAAATATTTATGTAACTTCTATTGTACATAAGACGCCACACTGGATGAACATTTGATGTCATTGTAGAAATTCTGCTCAACAAATGATAATGTGATGGCTTGAAGAATGCAATATGTTGACAGGCTTTCATTCTTTCTGCTGTTAACATATTTCTGGACTCTGTGTTCTGAGCACCATATGCTTCTCTTTCCTGGAGTCAGGACTGAGCCCATGGCTGACCTGTCTTGGAGATGGGCTCTGGACTCTCCCTGAAGTCTACTGCAAGTTGGAATGTGATGCTCCCCCTGTTATTCCAAACGCCAACTTACTCCTTCCTCACTGCCTCAAAGGCAACCACCACGACGTGGGCACCATCTGCAGATATGAATGCAAACCTGGCTACTATGTGTTGGAAAGCACTGGGAGTCGAGTCAGGAAGTAAGTTATAGTGTTCTTGTTCTTGGTTTTCATAGTCTCACCTGTCTTTATACCTTGCTCCTGCTCCCTCTTTGCAAATCACAGGCCATCCTTTGGAAATTACACTGAAGCCTTCTGGGACATGCAATGCTTATTGTATTTGTTTGTCTGCATAATCTCTCTTTGTCAACATAGACATATTCCCCAGTCATGTTATGCACATGACTTACATCTTTATTTAAGTATTCTATTTCATTTGAGATTCCATAGTCTCACTTAGCTGTTTTTTTTTTTTTAATTCTCCCCTAAACATAATTTTTCTTGAAACTAAGTGTCAGGAGCCTCCTGAGTGTTACACATGTCACCTGAATCCAGCTCTGGGCTAGCACAGCCTCATCAGTACAAGTCACAATCAAGGTTCAGAAAGAAACTGCCTGGTCCAGACACTTACTAGATGTGTGATGCCGGGAAGTTTTCTTTCTCTGCCTCAGTTTTTTAACTTCAAAATCAGATAATAAAAGTAAATTTTACCTGTATGGAGGGCCTCATTGAATTGATGTGTATAAAACATAAAACTCAGTGAGATTATTTTTAAAACATAAAATGCAACATCTTTTAGCAAGCAATATTGCTGTTACAGACTTTCTACTTTCTCCCTGCGCTTTCTGGATGCATACTCCTAAAGCCACAGTGAGGCATGCCTTCTTTCTGAAGGCATGGGAGGAGGAGGGGAGGAGATATTTATATGTAATTTACAATGAAGGGCTTTCAAGGGAGTTATGCTAGGGTTCAAACTCCCATTCATCTTTTATCAGATGAGTAACCTCAGGTAAGTAATTAACTCTTTAGATCTTGGTCTCCTTTGTAAGTGATGGGTAATACCTATGTCAGAGTATTGAGAATTAAATGGGATAATTGTAACTGGTGCAGTGCTTCATTTGTGCCAATTACTCCATAAATGGTTTTTAGAAAAAGAGACTTTTTCTAAACAGACAAAACAAATAAAAGGCTTTCAGAAAAAAGAAACGCCCTGTATTAAGTAAGTAGTACCTATTCTTTCCCTATTGTTCATAATATAGGGACAAAAGAAAATTAAACACATTTCTTACAAGTTCAAAGGCTGGAATAGGTTTTCTCTTTTAAGCTTTTGTTTATTTGTTTGAACTAATAGAATCCCATGGCATTACCAATGATGCCAGCAGATACAAACTTTGCTTGTAAACTAGACTTCTTTAAAAGAAGGGAAGAAAACAAGGAATCTTTGTGTCTGGTTTGCACTCATCCTTCTTATAGTTGATCCCAGCTGTGTTAATAGGGGGGTCCATAGAGCTATTGGCAGGCCCAGGACCTTTCACTCTGGAAGAAGCCCTGCCTCCAGTGTGGGAGAGAAAAGCAAACCCCTTCCCCTCCCACTCATGTTTTAAAACATGAAAGATGCCCATAAAAACTCCATAGGAGACTGTACTCTGCTTCAGTGGACTCTAGAGGCAAGTGTAGTAAATAATATTTGACAACCAAGAGCGCATTTGCATATTGATTTTCATAGGATCTAGTTGCAATTTGCATAGGTGCAAACTGACTGACAGGGGAGTAAATACCCATATAATCTCTGAGTGTTATTACAACTGGCTTGAGGGCTGCAGTTTTCTTTCTCTCATCTCTTTCTTTCTCTCATCTCTTTCTTTCCTTGTTTGCTTTTTTACACACCAGCAACTACCTCAGATATCTGCAGAGCCAGGCAGTGAGGAATTGAGGGGACATTACTGTCTCGGGACAAGAGGAATTAAGGGTGGAGCGATGAGCGCCAGCTCTCTGGGTGCATGGCTTGAGCTTCATGCTGGGAAAAAAATGAGGCTTCCACACAGAATGCTGGGTGTTCTGGCTCATCCCTGTATCCCTGCCCCTGGGCAGGGGCACTTGAGAACCATTTGTGGACACAGCTTTTCTGGTTGAGAAACTGGACGCTTGCATCACAACGTCAGCATCAGTTTTGGCTTAAACATTTACATTCGCAAGCAGCGTGCTAAGGAGAGATTAAATTATTTACTGTGCTGTGTAAACTGATTAAATCTTAGTTTCCACCTGTTTACATAGCAGGCGACGGATTGGTAATCAGAAGTTTGTAAGTCAGACGTAAATCACTGTCACTTGCCACTTGTGTTTACCAAACCAACTATGTCAGCCTTGTTCCTCCTGTGTGGAAAAAGCTCAACATTGTGCAGATGGGGCCCTAAAATTGTTCCTAGAACTTGCATGCAGGAAGAGAAGAAACTGGGAAGAGCAGGCAAGAAAATCAATCCAGAGAGAGTAGGCTTATGCTAATTTTATGCAGTGAACAATGTAGTGGGGGTGGAGACAACTACTTGTTTACATGACTCTGAGCAATATATTGAACACCCTTGTGTCTTAGTTTTTTCATCCATAATGAGAGGGATAATGATTATTTCTATTCAGCAGCATTGTTTTGAGGCTGAAAGTTGGGTAATGCACTGTAAGCATTTTATAAATTATGAATATCAGTACATATGCTATGCTAGGTATTACTTCTTGTTCATTTCTTTTTAAACAAGGAAACAGCTACCAAAATATCAGTTGAATGCATTCTCCTCCTTCTTCCCAAATCTACTGCTCCAAGAGAAAAGAAGGATAAACCAGGCATGGAGGCTCACACCTGTAATCCCAGCTATGAATGAGACATGGGTAGGAGGACCATCGTGCCAGGCTGGCCCTGGGCAAAACGATGTGAAAAATAACCTAAAGCAAAAGGGGCTCAAGGTGTGGCTCAGGTGGTAGGCAAGTACAGGGTCCTAAGTTTAAATATCAGAACTGCCAAAAAAAGATTTCTTAAATAAAGTACTGGCTCTGGCGTTCTCTGAGATCCCTGTCCTATTTCACTTGGAGCAGGGAGGAAAGGCACACTCATCAAGTGCATGCTCGGTGCCATTCTACAGATCAGGAAGAAAGACGTAGGCGCAGCCACACCTCAAAACAGCCGCAGACTCTTTGTTGGGGCTCAGATGGCAACATCCTGGTAGGTGTTCAATAGAAACGGTTTTGAATTTTAACTTTTGTGCTAGTTCTCTTCAATGTGACAAATCCCTGCCATAAGCAGAAGTAGGAAATACTTATTTTGGTTTATAGTTTCAGAGCTTTCAGTCCATGCCAGCTGGTGCCCTTGCTTCTGGGCCATGTTAAGGCAGAACGTCATGGTGGAGAGCATGTGGAGGAGCAGAACTACTCACCTCACGATAGCAGGGAAGCAGAGAGAGACAGATGGAAAGGGGTTAGGACAAAATCCAACCATCAAGGATATTGTCCTCAGTGACCTACTTCCTCCAGCTATGCCCCACTTCCTAAAGCTTCCAGAACCTCCCAAAATAGTGCCACCACCTGGGGACCAAGTCTTCAACGCACGATCCCTGTGAGAAGCATTTCATACACAAACCATTAACAATCATTTCCTGAACTAATGTGTGTGGTATGGTACTCAACAGCCACAGTGAGATGTAGCTCCCAACAGTCACAAAGTCACCAGAGTAAAGAGCCCATACTCTCTAGTGGCTTGGGTTACCAAGTTGTGATGTTCAGTAGGTTAGGTGTGTTGAATGTATTTTTGACCTACAGTATTTACAATGGATTTTTTGTATTATCCCCCAAAATGGGATAATACATATCAATCCATGCATTTCTACTATAAGTCAAGAGACATCTGTATATCAGAATCTCTGCAGGTCAGGTCCAGACATCAGTAGTTTGAAAAGCTCCCCATTCACTATACTGTGTGCCCAAGGTCAAGAAGTACTGGTCTAGTGGAAACTTTGTTCTTCTTAGAACAATATTCATATGAGAGCTTGGCTATCCCTTTAAAAAAAAAACCTAGAGTAAACTTCAATCTATTTTCAAAATTAGTGTATCAGCCCTTTTGCATGGCAGATTTCACTTTGAGCATTACTTACTTTTGAAGGTAATAGTGAAAATACAAACAGAACTGGAACTCCAAAAAGCCTGTAAAGATTGCGTAGTTTCAGGAGTTCTTTTCTCCTCATAATGTATAATATGAGCAAGCTTTCTTTCAAGCTCTTTTCTGTTTCTTCTGTGCAATTTACTTCCACATACACATCATCATTAATCATTCCTTTGTTGTTCCATTAACTTGAATTCCTAGCAATGTAAAAGAAGTGTATTTGACTTATATTTTATCGAAAAGATCATATTATATTCTCCCTTATCTTTCACTTCCATGGTTGCCTTTTTCTCATTACATGTTATCTTTATTGTGAAGGTTAGGTTAACCTTATTAAGACCAATAATTAATTGAGCTTCTAAAGTATTTCAGCCTTCTAACTTAGACAGTCTCTTCTCCTATAAGTCATTCATCAGGATGCTACCCATAAGGCACGATAGTAGGTAGATATTGAAGGAAATTTGTAAGTAGCCATTTTTTTTCTGAGGGTGGCCATGGTACCAACTTTTCCAAAGCACGTACATTTATTTAAGTTCTGTAAACACAACTGTAGATTAAGAATATAAGCAGTAGGCCTTACATCATGATTATTGACTGTTGAGCAAACATTTTGTTGATGAATACCTTCAGTAAAGCCCTGTCTGATCTGACCTGGGGAAGAGCCTGGAATGGACTAGAGCTAGGCATGAGTACTTGACCATTTCTACACATATAAAAAGATTGTCTAGTGTAGTAGAGAGTAAAGAGCATAAAGCTGGGGCTTTGTTCTATTGGTCTGATGAGGACCGTGGAGGTGATGATGATTTCCTGTTTTGTGCTGTATGTGCTAAGTATTTTGCATATATTATTCCATGAATTTCTCATGGCAGTAATACATTTTATTAGTAATTAAATAGTGGTACAATATACTGTGGTATAATAATATGTAACTTAGTATGCTATAATACTTTTAGCATATTATTATTCCCTGTTACAGATGAGCAAACTGAGACTCAGACTGTGATGAAGTTGTCTTCTAACGATCACTCAATGAATGGTGAAGTTGGGGTTAAAACTA